TATTATTGCTTACTAAATAAGCAAAGGAAGACGGAGCATTCGTTTTGGAGGACTGCAGGGAATCTGGATGCAATATATGGTGATCCTTGTGCTCCAATGTAATGGAATCTAGATCTTAGGATCGAGAACCACATCACTAAGGAATTAGATCCTATAGTCGCCGGGAACACAAACATTCTTAAAGAAAACTCGTTCCCTTGACAAGGGAGCAAGATTTTGAAGGCCAAAAAACCGAGATGCTTGAGAGATCCATTCCAGAAGCGACAGAATCAAGATCCTAGAAGAAATCGCCTACCAAAGTAAGCGATCCCGGTTACTAAGGAACGAAATAGAAAACATAAAAAGCATCACAAAGGATCTCAAAGGAATGGCCCTAGAGAGAGGACATGCCTTCAATTGCCCTTATGTGTTCATGTGAAATGCTGAAAGTGACTGATCTATCTCGAAAAAGATCTTGGGCTTGGGTTAAGACGGTAGCAAGTGAGTTTTCATAAAGCCACACCTCAAGATCCAGTCCTACGTAACTTTGTCGAAAAAAGAAAAAAGATCGTATATTCCATCCATGATGTTCACTGACCTCAATGCGGGTGAGGATCTGTGAAAGATCTCAAAAAAGTGTGCATTGTGAGAAGGGCCAATGCTTCATCCTTACTAGCATCTCTACTAATACTACCCATTGGACTTGTATGTGTACGGCAAATAAACTCCAAGAGGTCTGTAAGGACTTCGCCAACAGCTAATGGATAAATCTACACACTCCTAACAGAGTCTTTCTCCACGTAGGGTTTTCCAGCACCCAGATATGCAACACCACCAGCCATCTTACTAGAACCACCACTCACAAACCCCAAAACTCTTTCAAGAAAGGGATACATGATCATATTCTGTTTCCTTGTCCCCACAACTTCAGCTTTGGAATACTAACCTTCAAAGAATCACATGTTTCATTGTTATCAAATACCCCAAAGGATGGCAGGAAGGGTAAACTTCCACAAAATACTCTCCTTCCATAAGAATGAGCAGAATTTTCAGCTGAATAACACCTCTTGAATTGATTTAAATTGGATCCAAGGAAACCCGAAAGGTTTAGCATGTATGCCCAGATTATCCAAGCAAAAGGACAATGAGAGAACAAGTGTCTCAACATCTATTCTGTGCCATTAAACATAAAACAAATGCATACATCTATGTTGTAGGTGGTCAGCTATTAAAACTTTGTCCAACACCAGCAGCCACCCAAAGCATAATACCCATTGTTTTAAGTTGCGGCCACATTGCCGCATATGCAGCAGCAGCATAATGCGCTATGCACCCCAAAGCGCATCGCATAGGGATGCGCAGATGCACTTTGGTGGGATGCGCCTGCATATGCAGCCGCAGAGCATAGCCTATATGCACTGCATAGCTCAGGGGCTAAAATAGAGCCCACGAGAATGGATACTTTTGTCATTTTCCGCTCCCAAATTTTGGGGGTATTAATCATCCCCCCCCCAACGGAAACACAAAAAATAGCCACAAATGTGGCCGTTTTTGGATCAAACGGAGAGGGAAAAAAGAAAATTAGCAGACATTTAAAAAACAAATATCTGTCGATTTGCTCTGAGTGTTTGGGGGTTCTAATAATCCCAAAAACACAACAAACAGTGACAAATGTGGCTGTTTTTTTATCAAACGAAGATGGAAAAAAATTGGAAAAAATTTTCTTTCTAAAAAAATTGAGGATATGCTCTAGGTGTTGGTTGGGTTGTCAATTTGGGATTAGCTTGGGCTTTGCTTTTGAAGAAGTTCGATAATATGATGCGTTCTAAGTTCTAATGTCTTTTATAAAATTAGTTTCAAGTTTCTAGTTTCCACTTTCGATTTCCAATGTTTTCTATCAGGGGATTCAAAGTCTATGACAATTGATAACATTTGTGTCAATCAATAAATCAGATACTTCCAATCACATAAATCACCACCATATAGTTTCCATGCATTAACCTATTTTTTGTGATTTTTTAGAATTTTTATATTTATTGACCACATCGAGGTGGTGCACCCGCATCTAGACCACATCAGTCCCACGACCGCATCGGAAGCGCATCCCATATTTTAAAACAGTAATAATACCCTAGGGGGTACCTTGGTACCCCAATCCATTTGCCCCTAGAGGGCGTCCAAATTCCCAACATAGCACCTGGGTACATGCTTTCACTGAGAATTCCCCCATTTGTATCGCCACACAAGTTTGTGAGAACAGTTTTAGGGATAGAGACAGAATCCAGGCTCTACGAAAGGGAGCATAACTCTTCAATCTCTTGACCATCCACAATAATTGCATACCATACCACCCCATCCTCTGCTTTCTCATAGTACTATCCAACTTTCATATCTAGCACAAGTGCGCTTCTAAATAGTCCAGGGAATCACTCCCAAAAATGAACATCTCAATACCGTCTGTCCAAAATGCTGTTCTATGAACTTTAATCTGGATCCCTTCTCAAAATATTTGCCCATGAAAGAGACCCCAGCCAAATTACCAACTTCAAGAGTGCTAGGAAAGCAAATTTTTCATCCCTCTCTCCCACTGCCATACTTAGCAATGATAGCCCTCATCTAAACTGAATTATCCTCTATGCTGAAACGTCAATACAATAGCCTAACAAAGCTTTATTGGTTGATAAGACGAGCTTAACCTCAAGAGAGCTACCGAGTTGCTTAGGCGTGCTCGTATCCTCCCACTTCACCAAGTGGAAATTCCAAGTGTCAGTACTGCCTTGCCATAAAAATGCCTCTGGGATCACTCAAGCTTCCCCATAATGGCACGTGATGCTTGGAAAGAAAACATGGCATTGATCAGCAATTTGGTAAACCCAATCAGGTGCAAGTGCATTTTGTGAGAAAGATTAGAACAGGAAATTCCAGCTCTCATCCACTTGCAAACAATGTGTTTTGTTGGTGTGCAGGCCACCACTTGCCCAAAACTAGGGTTTACCTTTTGAGAGCAAGTAAAGCCCCAAAATAGTCGTCAACGACAATAAAAAACAAAGGTGGCACTCCAAATAGTTGAAGCAATTTATGATCATCATAATCATCATTATCCAAGCCTTATCCCAATTATTTGCGGCCCGCAGCATGAATCGTGTTCCTCCATTCTTCTCTATCAAGAGCCATACCCTTATTAAGAAAAGTCACCGTATTTTTTCTCACTACTTCTCTCCATGTCCTTTTGGGCCTTCCCCTTGCTCTTTTAGAGCCTTCCACTTGAACCAAATCACACCTCCTAATCGGTGTTTTATTACGTCTACGCCGCACATGGCCAGCTCACCTAAGTCAACTTTCCCTTATTTTATTTGTGTATTAATGCCACACCTAACTTCCCTCGTATGTAGTCATTCCGAATTCTATCTTTTCTTGTATTGGCACTCATCCATCTCAACATCCTCATCTCAGCTACGCTCATCCTGTGGATATGTTGTTTCTTGACTAACCAACTTTCCATCCCATAAAGCATAGTTGGTCTTACAGCCATCTTATAAAACTTCCCCTTCAGTCTCAAATCTCAATAGTATGTGACAAACACATAAAACTCCATATGCACATCTCCACTTCGCCTATCCAGCTCTAGTTCTATGGACAACATCTTCCTCAAACTCTCCTGGATTATCAACCCTAGATATCGGAACATTCTCTTTTAGGTATGATCAAATCAAAATGAATGACCACACTATTATATGTTGAGTCATAACTCTTTCCAAGCAACAATATAAATACAAACTGGGAAACAAAGTATCCTTGTCCTGGGGCATCCATAACAATCTTCACACTCCCTTCTAACCCATAAAAACATTCATACTCCAGCATGTATCAATCCATGACCCTCACCTTCTCATACCCAAGTTATGGCATGGACACAAGTCCTACAACATATGAATTGAATACATATGAACAGCACTTAAAATATATTGGTATGATAATGATGCACAAGCAGCACACCGTACAGATCCTACTGTTGTCGCTTTTCTTAATTTCTAGTATGCAGAGAAACAAAGAAAATCAGGACTCAAGAGATCTTGGAAGGATATAATCCTACCAAACAAATTACACATTTCAACTTGGAGGGCTTACCTGCTTAGAGAGCTAGAGGTTGCCTGCATAAATCCTGGCCCCCACCTCTAAGTATTGTAAAACTGGTCCTAATCAAACTGTTGAGAGCAATAAAAAACAAAAAAGAGTGAAAGCTTGAGTGCAGATATATAACCACAAATACATTTCTTTGAGTTACAAATATTGCTTGAATTTCAGAAATTGCTTGATTACATTTGCACCAATGCAAAATGATTGTCTTGCACGGCCCACAAGTATTTATTGTATTTCTTTTTTTATTAAGCCGCATTCAGCTTTCCTATCCTTCGTGCCTTGTTGTTCAGTCCAATAAATTTTGCCATTTAAGTGAAATTATTTATCGACAAGGATAAAGAGTTAAAGGTCAAAAATAGGGCAACTAAAAACTGGATTCGCTACATGAACTACAGAGATAACTTCCAGCCCCTTGATATGACTTACATGACCAAGTTTCTGAATGACATTATATTTCAGGACATAGGGACCTGACTGTTTTAAATGCATAGACGGGCCGAGAAGTCGAATCGAAAGAAGCTTAGCACAGTCCACTTTCTATAGAAATAAAAGTTTGTTTTATTTTGATAAGAAGCTCGTACCTTTTCCACTATAAGGATGGAGAGATAAGAAGCTCCTACCTTTCCCACTATAAGGATGGAGAGAAGAGGGAGGAGTCAAAACCCTTGGAATCATCTCAGCAGTATTTCCATCAAGGCTGGGAAAGAACACCAGTAAACCAAGCATGCACTGCAGACAAGGGGATTCCATTTTCTTTTTCTTTTTCTTTTCTTTTCTTTCTTTTTTTTTTGTTGGATAAATAAAAACACGCTTCTATTTTTCTCAATAGGGGCTTTTAATATTGACGGGCCACGCGGCTGCCCTTCTTTGACCCAAAAAAATGTTCAAAAAAGAAGGGGTTTTAATATTGATTTTCAATAACAAAATAAACAAAAGTTCAGCAGCAAAGCATATGTATGTTTTACAAAACAGAATACTTTCCCGGTTGACCTGCACCAGGCAACGACAGTGACTGGGCAGTATAGTCTTCTAGCACCCGTTTCACTTCAGCTTTCGCTTTCTTCACAGATGACTCTGTTGGGCCTTCAATGAAGAGGTAAAGCTTGCGCTCTCCAGGACCAGGGATCTTACCAGGTGGATAATACTGTCCCCTGGTTGTAATAGCTGCTCCAGTCCATTCAGAAATTGGACCCAAAGTTTCTTTGTGGGTCACCTTCCAACGAGCATTCTGTGGGAAATCATTAATCTCCAACTCGGCTTCATAGTGTTCAGGCATAGCGTCTGCTTGTATCTTTGCTAAATTGTGTTGCAGATTAAGCGCAGCAGCTAGTGCGGCAGCTCGAGCAGCTGCATCATTAGGTAGCCCACCAACAACAGGCAATGACGGTGGGGCTCCCAAAACACCCATACCAGCACCAGCAGCAGTAGTGGTCTGCAAAGGAAGGAATTGAGATGACACAGGAGGCAATGACAATGATGAGGTCATAGCGACCTTAGATGCTGCCGCAATGGCAGCAGCCTGAGCAAAAGCAGCAGCTTGTGAAATATCACCCCCTGCCTTGCGAACCCCTCCACCTTCCTCTTCAGAGTCTGAATCAGACTTATCCTCCTCAAAACCATATTCCCTTGCCTGAGCTTTCTTTGCAGCTCTCCTGGCTTCATCTTCCTCTTCATTGAACTTGAACCCACTCCCACCATAACCAGTCCCATGTGCATGCTCGGTCCCCTGGTTCACCTTGGCCATGAACCCATCCGCAACCTGCTTTAGATCATCAGGCACTGCTTGTTCTGAGAGCTCGAGAGCTTTGACAAGGTCAGGTGCATAACGTGCATCTTCCTCTGTTATGAAAGTCACAGCACAACCCTTCCTGCCAGCCCGACCAGTTCGACCCACTCTGTGAACATAGTCTTCATAGTGATTTGGGACGTCATAGTTCACCACAAGCTCAAGCTCCTTCACATCTAATCCCCTTGCAGCAATACTTGTTGCTATTAACAGGTTGCACACATTGCTCTTAAAATCTGAAATAGTGGATTCCCTATCAGTTTGGTCCTTGGCCCCATGGAGAGAGAGGCATGGGTAGCCATGCCTCAATAATTCCTTGAACAAGGAGTCACATTTCTCTTGGGAATGAACGAAAATCAGGATCTTTCCTTTCTCGTACCACTCCCCAAGAAGCTCCAACAGCCTGAGGAACCTCTCATTGTCCTGTCTAACCTCCACCAACTGCGTTATATCCTTGTTCACGACGCTCCTTCCCCCAACCTGGATTTCGACAGGCTTGTTCAAAACTTTCCTTGCCAGTATCTCCACCTGTCGAGGAAAAGTAGCAGAGAAAAGAACAGTCTGTCTATCTGGTCTTGTGTTTTGGACTATCCGAGTAATCTGTGGCTCAAAACCCATATCAAACATTCGGTCGGCTTCATCCATGACCAGGTAAGTAACCCTTCTAAGATTTGAGATCTTTCCACCACTCGTACAGAGGATGTCTATCATCCTCCCTGGTGTACATACAACAATCTCGGTACCTCTCTTTAAATCGCTGATCTGCTGAGCAACACCGGAACCACCATACACAGGAACGCAGTTAACACCCACAACCTTCGCAAACTTCTTGATATCACTGTGAATTTGCTGGACTAGTTCTCTTGTGGGTGCCATTATAAGCCCGATCGGCCCATCACCAGGAACCACAGGAGGCTGATCCTTGATGTGCCTCAACATGGGTAAAACAAAGGCAAGAGTCTTACCCGAACCAGTCTTTGCAATGCCTATGCAGTCCCGGCCACTCATAATTATGGGCAAGGCTTGAGCTTGAATAGGCATTGGCTTCTCAAAGTTCGACTTTTTTATGGTTTCGAGAATCTTGCTCGTTAACCCAGTCTGGTTCCATGTTTTTATGGGCATCGGAACATCTTTCCCATGGATCTTCAGCTCCAGCATTTTCCTATAAGCAGCAACTTCCTCTGTTGTCATTCTGGAAATCTCCTTCACCTCAATATAAAAGTTCTTTCTAAATGGTGGGTACTGGATTTTCGAATGGTCGACTATTGACAGCTTCTCTGCCTTTGTCTTTTTCACTCTTTTTATGAACTCATCATCATCTTCATCTTCCAATGGAGCTTCATCATTCTCCATATGTTCATAGTCGGAGTCAGAATCCTCACCTGGAATAATCCTCCCAGTTGCGTTCTTGGAAGCTTTCTTTGACTGATCCCCATTACCCAACACCTCTCTCGAAGCCTTCTTCTTTCCCAGCTCAGCTAGCATATTATCAGTCGAGGCAGCTGCTTCTGCATTTTTCAGTTTTTCAACCTCGGGCAGCACCATTGAGTTCATGAAGGCATCTAATGGGTCAATTTCCTCCCCCTCCTCCTCCCCATTCTCGTCCGGGAGAGGATGTCTATTACCATTACCATTGTCCTCAGAGTCTACCATCATGGGATCATCGGACTTTGCATCCCCATTAGCAACAGGAACAACAGGGCCTTTTGAAGCGGCAGCAGCAGTCTTGGTACTAGGATGCTCACTTTCTTCATCGTCAGATTCTTCTCCTTCCAAGGTCCAATTTTTACCAGATTTCGGAGGCTCTTCTTCAGTTTTCTCTTCGCCCCTCTTCTCTCTCTCCTGTTCCTCTCTTTTCCTTTTAAGCTCTTGCCACTCCTGAACTCTGCGTCTCCTTTTATCCATCTCCTCATCAAGTTTCCTGTTCTCCTCTTCCACATCCTCCTCTTTTCGGCCCTTCTTCAGCTCCTCCTCACTCTTCTTCCTCCGAACATCATCACCATTCTCTTCCTTGTACCTGCTGCTCTCTCTCTCACTTCCTTGCTCATCCTCCCTTCTCCTCTTCTTCCTCTCATGTATCTCGTCTTCCCTGTCTCTGTCCTCATCTCTCCGCTTCTCTCTCTCTCTCATCCTATCCCTCCCTCTTTCTCTCTCTTCCTTCTCCTCCCTCTCCCTCTCCCTTTCTCTCTCTTCCCTCTCCCTGTCCCTCTCCTCCCTCTCTCTAACCCTCTCCCTATCCTTTTCTCTTGCTCTCTCCCTTGTTCTGGCCCCATCATCTCTCTCTCTATCCTTGCCCTTCTCTTTCAGCCTCTCAGGGTCTTCCTCCCGATCCCGCCCCCTTTCCTTCTCTCTCTCATCCCTTCTCCTACTTCTGCTGCCATCCTTTTCAGACTCCTTATACCTTGAATCCTTATACTTGTCTCTGTGCTTTCCCTCAGAACTCCTTTCTCTCTCCACACGACGGTACTCCCTCTCTCTCTTCTCCGAATCCCGATAATCCCTAGCTCTCTCACTGCTTCGCCCTCTCTCCTTCTCCCTCTCTCTCTTCTCAGAATCCCTGTCCCTAACCTTGTCACTGTCCTTCTCCCTCTCTCTATCTCTCTCTCTCTTCTCTGAAACCTTGTCAATATCCCTCTCCCTCTCTCTCTTCTCCAAATCTCTATCCCTGACTTTATCACTCTCCCTCTCTCTCCTCTCTGAATCTCGATCCCTCGCCTTCTCTCTCTCTCTTCTCTCACCAGTCCTTTCCCTGACTTTCTCGCCTTCTCTCTGTCTCCTGTCCGCTGCCTCCAAAACCCTAATTTTCCCACTGTCCTCTCTATCACCCTTCTGCAAATCCGCATCTCCAACTCTCTCGCTCTCCTCACTCTCTCTCTTCTCCCGATCCAAATCCCTAATTTTCTCCTTCTCGCCTTCTCTCTCTCTATCGCGATCGCCTCTCTTCGAATCCTCCTTTCTCTTCTCCCACTCATCTCGCCTCGATCTCTGCTTCCCTTCATCCATCCTCAAAAATTACCAGCCAAAAGCTTCAACCAACATTAACAACACACAAACCCTAGAAATTCGCACACAATCCAATTCCAGTTTCCGCTTGCCGCTGCAACTCAACAAGCTTAAGTTTCCTGGAACACTTGTTGTTAAGCAGTATGCATCACAGGGAAGGTCCGAAGCCTGGATTAGACGGAAAGTCGAGATGGAGGGAAAGTTTGATCGCAGGAGGCCGCAAATTTACTGGTCGCGTTTAATGTTACACCCGGCAGCACGTGTGATACACGGCTAGGTAGTGTATGAGGGAAATTTAGGTTTAGTGGTTGCATTATATAGCAAATATTTTAGCGGACTTTTCTTCTTTTTTTAATATTAAAAATTTTTAGCAGACCTCTTTAGGTGCACATTAAAGGCTGGAAACCGGCTGTGTCTAGGGCGGGCCACCTTGGCTCTAGCCCTAGTTGCCAATTTCCCACACGGCCGAGGAAGCTCAAATAGAATTTAAGAAAAATAAAAGAAGAAATAAAAAAATTTAGGGGCTAGGACAAGCCAAATGGATTAGCCCTATCATGGCTTGGCCCAAGCCCAACCTAAGCCCCCCTACAAGGGGCAGTAATGACCTAACCCTCTGGCCATATTTTGTAATTCAAGCTCTAGTATTTTAGGGTTGGGCTAATCGGCCTGGGCCTGGCCATCCAACTCATTGCCACCCATACCTCCACATAATTTTTTTATTCACTATTAACACATTGGTTGTTCTTTTGCGGAGACGCTATCCATACGGAAGATATGGTGATTCGGGAAATATTTCATTATAATCAATGAAATAATAAAGCCCATGCCCTTGTCTTTATTTTTTAGGCCAATCTTGTTTTTCCAAAATATTGTCATTGTTCTAAATGTCAGACAAGCCTCATTTCCAATAATATTGTTGGTTGAAGCCGGTTTGGCACTCACAAGTGCTAGACTGATCTTATCTCTAAATTATATTGCCAAGGCCTGTTCAGCTTATTTCTCAACAATATGAAATTATATTGCCAAGGCCTATTCAGCTTTATTTCTCAACAATATGATCGACATTGGTTCAACGAGTATTGGGCCAACCTTGTTTTGAAATTCTTTTTAAAGGCCAAGAACCAATTTCAATAAAATATTTTAAAATGATTGGTCTAGCATCTCGAGTTCAAACCAAGCTATATTAAAATATTTTACATAGGTCGATCTAACATCCCAAGTGTCGAATCAGCCTCAATCAAAATATTTCATGTAGGCTGGTTTAACACTCTTTTAGTGCCAACGCAAGCATAAATTCTAAATGGACTACGGCATAGTTATTGAAACCCATGTCAAGCATCCTACCCATGTTGAAGCAACTACAAAATTTCATAGCTATTGTACGCATATTTTATTATCAAGATCGATAAAAATAAAATTATATTCAATTACCTTGTCTTTGTTGCAACCTTTCTTGCATATTTGTAGCTCTAAGCTCTTTGTTTACATCTTCTTATATTTACATCTTCTCATAACTCTCCATCACTTCAAACACCTAATTGCTCGATCAGTACACCGAATTGCAAACAATAACAATGTGCATTTGCCACCAAATTCCAAACCATGTAGTGTCCTGATTCCCTAGTCTTCTATCAATTACTATTTACTACTCACAAGTCCAATACTCCTAAGTTGTGTGTACAACTCGTGGCATTTAAAAAAATAATAAAAAGAAAACAAAATAAATTATGAAAAATCAAGATATGTTGAGCCCGTTTTTCTTACATGATTTGGATACATTTGGCAAAGATTGGTAAGTTTTAGATACATTTGACAAAGATTGGTAAGTTTTTGTCATTGTAATCACTATTTTCCATTTCTCCTTTTTTTCTGGATTCTTTAGAATGCACTAAACTCTTAATCAGGTTTTTTTAATCCATTTTTAATCTTCTTTTTAAGCTTATTTAACTCTTTCAAGTTGTTTTAGGTGAATTTACTACAAGTGTCTGCTAGCTACCAGTATATAGGGCTTTGCTATGTAGAACTCCAAGATATTTAAAGAGATAAATTAAAGCACGGTCTACTAAAGATAACTAAACACAAACCCATGATGATGAAGCCAGTGGTTTACTACTAAAATTAGGAAAATTAGGTACTCCCTTTGTGATGCTTTTCATGAGATATGGACCACTCTTCACAACAATTTTTGCTTTAGGCTAAACCAGCTAAAACTAACAAACTAAGCAGTAAGCAATAAAGTTGATTTCTTGACTCATTGTAGTAGAGTTTGCAAAAGTGATTTCTTGACTCTGTGCTTTGAATCACATGACAAGATATCCTACTACCTTTACCTCCTCCCAAGAATTGGATGGTAATTCTTGAGTTTAGGCACATTTGAGTTAGAAAGGCTTGTATGATTGACGGTTCATATTAGGGAAAGAAGAGCGAGGGTTCGAGGGGGCAGCCCTCAGCACGATCATCCAATTCACCCCAATAGACAAGCGTGGCTATGACGATATTCATGTGTGAATACCCCCATATCAAAGGAGAAAGGGCAATAAATGATAACGAGAAAGGGCACCACTGCACCTAGACGGGCGAAATGGATGAACCAAAGGTGCCATGAAATGGGAATATTGTTTCCCCAAAATGTGCACAAAAGAAAGATTTTACATGAACATGACTCCAAGAAAACAAACCAAAGCAACACAAAAAATGAAGAACAAACTCTCCCAATTTGCTGTTATTATCACGGGACTACAAGATGGGTATTTATTTTACTGATATGATGTGATCATGAGGAACTTCAGATATTTAAATCCCTATTACAATTTACCCGGAGTAAAGCACAGACTCAGGCACCTTTGATTCAGGCCTCGAACATCATAAACTCAAAGAAAAGTGAAAATATACAGAGACGAAAAGAAAAAGATAGCCGTCTGGGCATATTGTGCGTTTATACTTGTTTTACAAGGCCACCTTCCTTCACTTCTCTACTCTTTCTGAGTCCTATAGCCTTCACGTGGGTGAGGTTAAAGTGTTTCTTCTCTTTGGGTTCACATGATTTAAGATAGAGGCAGTGTTGGTGGTTCACTATCTCAATCTGCAGGTACGTGAGGGAAAAAGGTTGAGTGGAATGTCTCTCTGTCTCTCTTAAACTTAGGGTGTTAGCTTTTAATGCCATCATATCTCCCTTTATAAGTGTGTGAGAGGGTGTTTATATAGAATGTGAGATCAGTTGCAGATGGATAGACTTATTCTTCCTTTGTGCTTATCAAAAATCAACAATTTTAAGCAGCTTCTTCCAGATAAGTATGAATCCTTTAGTTTAGAAATCTCCTCGCTATTTTGGGTATGTTTTGAGTCTTTTGACTTCTTTTGAACTCCTATATTGAATTTGAATCAAAACTAACTTGTTTGAATCAGTATGGACAATGAGAAAATATAGAAGATTAATTATACTGGTCTTTCAATTGTCAAACTGTCTATCCTTCTGAACATGATTCAATCCAAGGAGTATAATTCTCTGATCAAGAGGCCTTTTTCCATGAAATTTTGCAAGAAAATAGAGGACATAGAGATGAATCAAATGGTTCAAGTTTCATCCCATTTGGATTTACATTGAAGAAAATATGCCTCCTTGAAGTTAAGGCATTTATACTGCTAGTTTGAGCAAAAATCGGTAGATAACGAGACTAATAACTTGACGCCCTTAAATGCTTTAATCATGAATTTTTAATACGTTGTGAAGCTCTTCATGGTGAACATCTCCACCAAATTTGGTAGGAAAATTCCAAATAATTTAGGAGATATGAGCATTTCATCGGTTAAAACGTGTTATAGAAATAGTGTTTGATACGACTCAGATCGCTCTAATGGAGAATTCTTAGGATCTAGCTTTCATAGAGATGACAGAGCTTTGGTTTAGGATTCCAAGGGCTTTGGTCTTATGCAAAAAGCCCTTTTAGATTGAGAGATATGACAATTTTACCAATTAGATATTGTCTTGGCTGCTGTTTGGCGCTTTAACAAACATTGTCCATCGAAGCTTACTGATGAAGAGAATGATATAGGATTAAATCTCCTTTCAATATAATAGAAACCTTTGGAAAGGGATTATAAAATCACAAATATGATTTTTGCATATATTCTGAGCCAATTACCAAGCATTGTGGATGGGTCTATCGGTTAAACTGTTTCACTGAGAGTGGATCAGAAGATCCTATCAAATGATGTCCATTTCCGATGAATCTTGAACTAAAGACATATAATGACCAATATCTGTCATTTGCAAGTTTTAATCTCGATTTAATATGATATAATGGGGTTTTCATAGGTTTGGTCATTAATTGATGAAGTCTACGAATACTTGTGAACTTTTATTCAAACTGCCCCTAAATAGTATGTGAAGGCATATAATGGCACTAAGATCACTATGTTGGATTATGTGGCCTTAAGTTCCGACATTTTGGATAGCTCTTATTTTCAATGGGAGTAATAGAGCGACATAACTCTAAGATCTTGGTGCACTAGGACCAAGAGTCATGAAACCCTGAATAAATTAAGATGAAGATTTATATGCATGGAAGGTACTGAGAGGATTGAGGGTTACTTCTTAGTCATCATCGGTTGTTATGTTTGTGCCTCATGACTATGTGATGGGCTAGTGCGATACAATTTATGTGTTTATGTGATTATGTGATATGAGCTCGATGATGAGATAATCTTGTACAGGAAGGTTAGAGTCAATAGAGGGCATTGATCTGTATCTTTGACTCTTAGAACCTTCTCGTAGCATTGACTCTTAGAACCTTCTCGTAGCATGTGCATAAATAATGACAATGCATAGGAAACCGTTCTTCCTGGAATCCACTCGTAAGAGGTATAACGTTCTTCTAAGAATCAACTTGTAAGAGGTATGCACATGTGTCAAGAGAAGAACCCACACCATGTGTGTACATATCCTCTAAGGGGTGCACCTGAAATCATACTTAGTAAGTCGGCGATTACATTGCGACTTTTTCAAAACATCGCCCTTTTTTAAAAAATCCATTGTAATCAGTGATTTTTCCAATACATCATCAATAAAACGTGATTTTTTGAAGAAGTTTGAAATGCACCTTTTTGAAACTTTGAAGTAATCGCGACTTTTTCAAAACATCCCCTTTTTAAAAAAACCGTTTTTATCTGTGATTTTTAAATACATCGGCAATAAAACGTGATTCTTGAAGAAGAAGTTTAAAACGCGTCTTTTTAAACTTTGAAAAAATTGATTCAAAAAAACTTTTC